ATTCTCTTTCTTAATAATAGATACTTCGATGACTTTCAGAATAAACTGTCATTAGAGTTAGCAAAAAGGTCTTTTGTGCCTTTTTGTAAGCGCATGGCTTTCAACTCAGCCCTGCTTTTCTTAAACAGAAAGAAAAATTGGATCCCATGTTCTACAAGTGACATCCTTTTTCCTTTTATCGAGGAGATGATGAGCACAAATTGTGCATCTCACTTGAAGCGACTGATCGGAAAGTTGTAGTGATTCCGAGTTCCTTATTGCGAATAATCTTATTTCAACTTCGATCTTACAGACTTAGTTGCTCTCATACCTATCAACCTTCCTTTACACTCCCACCTTCTCATGGCTCCTGGCAATCTCCGAGTGACTTCATTGCCCACATCATGTTGTTGTTTCCCGCAAAGAATAGCTAGGGGAAAGCCAGATACCTTTTCTGTCAGTCTTAGGCATATGAAAAAGGTAGTTTAATAGTGATAATTGGTGTTCTAGCTTATATGTACTGAAATGACAAATCACATTTCAGCACATCTGCCTTGAAGCAGGATATTCTTACATTACTCGAGTCGTGATCGACTCTTTTGTGTACTAGACACTTTCGTAATTCGAGGAAATTAAAAACATCACATTCGGTTGGAATTCTGCGCCAAATACTAATTGAATTTAAAAATTCGATTGGCTAGAGCGTCCTCATAACAGGAGTTAACGCAAATAGTTGCCTCATTTGCACTAATAGAATCGTTAAAATTATCAACCTCAAGGAAAGGTGTTTTAGAATTACAAGTTCAACATTACCTCTTTATGACTAGCCACAACATTGAACACGCACCGATGAACACCGAATTCGTGATTACTGACAAAGCAGACGCGAACGTTGATCGAGTACTGACTTACTCCCAAGTTCAGTTGTGACGGTGTTTCCAGAACTCATTTTGGATGAAGGCGTAGCATTCCAAAGTAACTTCTAGTGAGAAAATCGACATTTTTGCCACTTTCCCTTCTTCATTAGCCAGACCAAAATACGTGTAGAGATGACTATTCCGCTCACCAAGTGCGTACAGAAACTATGAAGTTTGGATTCACAGACAAACCATCCAATAACTCCTGGACCACCGGTACTCTTATTGCAGTGCAATTGCTTCAGAACACGCACGCACACATCCTGGGGTGCGGTATAGCGTCATGGAACCCTACTAATAAAAACATAATCTTCTGCAATCCCTCTTAATAGCCAGACATTGCTAATATATTTAGTAATTCAGATTATTGGATACACTCCGAATCGGCAATGCTAATATTAACGGTTGCACCACCGGTGCAGTGACTTTCAATCGGATTATGGAAAGACCAAATCGAACTGGAAGTAGAGACTGAGAGGCGAACTCACATAAAGGCACTTATGAGCACATATCACCCAGTAGCGTTTGTGCTCTCGCTATACTTGTGAGTGCACAGCTAAACCAGGTACTCACATCATACGAAAGAGTGGCTGCTTATCGATTTCACACGAAAAAGCACAAACCTTCATTAAACTTAGCTGTAGAAGATGGTGCTTTTATGGTTGTGTGCATAAACAACGAAAGATAGTGGCACCTAATTCCATTAATTCAATATAGCTCATTGAATTAAGACGCGTGGCATGAGAAAAAGGTATGGGACAATTGAGAAATACTTTCCTACCCAACTACGCCATCTTATTTGGAATTCTCCTTACATCTAAGCGATTAATATGGTTTCTTAATCCGCTCGAGATTGTAATAGGTGCTTGATGGCTTATACATCGATCTGTTCCCCCCCCCCCATGATTCGCCATCAGGACTAGCGTAGATTAATCAGTTTCCTAAATTCGGAATATTTAAACAATAACCACCTAAAAACACTAGCAGATCTTCGAAGGCTTAGGTTGTTCAAGACAACAAAACCAAACTTCTGGTTGGCAGGGTTAGGTGATTTCCGTCTATTCTACAAAATTGTCATATAAAATGACGCCTTGATTAGTAACAGTGACTATTAGGTAATAGTGAGAGGTAACTTGAGGGTTGTGGCTTAACGATTTGACTCTTCCCTTTTCAGCCTACAGCTCACTTCCAGACCTGTGCGATTTGTTTGATCTTCAGCTGTTATCCAATTTCTGCTGAGAAGCCACCTACTCTGTTAAGATGAATATTCTGCAGACAACATAGGTCGAGATAAAGGGAAAAAACGGCTAGCCATTAATGCAATAATGGCGAAATTTCATACTCGATTATCAACGTGAAAAATCAGTAGACATCAGCTGAGACTGAACTCATCCTATGTACAGCAAAAGGAACCAATTTAGTGTTCAACGGCTATATATCGAGAACATATTTACTCTTTCAATTTAGAGTATTGGTACATTTTCTGATCATCTGCTTCTCCTCCCCTATTCAATCACTCCATATTATTCCAGAATATGAGTTTGAAACTAACTCCTACTAGCGGTGCCATTTTACTTAACAAATTCACAGTACGTATAGCTAGTTTCTGCGTTTCCACCAATATTCCACAATCCATGCGCAATTTGCGCATTTACAAATTACCTTTTAACGTTGAATTCCAAGAAGTACTACTTTAAACAAGCGACCAGATTTAAGTAAATACAACATTTTTTATCGGGAGAGCTATTTGAAAATAGCTCAACTGGAATCACATAGCTCCTTTTATCCACCAGAAATGACCCATTTACTGCGAGGTTTTAATCAGCCGATCGGCTGGTACAGCTTTGAACAACCACCAAAAACCTATAAGTCAAATCCTGTAATTCGAAACAAATTGTCCCCCCACCCCCCCCCCCCCCCCCCCTGAACATCTCGTTCGGAGTGAAATGTTCCACTGCATGACAAAATTTTCCTTAAGGTGTCCTCATTCGACCTTATTCCCCCGTTTGTTGTTACTTGGACTGACCTCAGTAGATGTGGTTGTATTGCCATGTTTTCCCCAGAGTATGGAACATGAACCATAACTGAAAGGGGTAAAAGAGAAGCTATATCTTTCCTTGGGCACTCAGTGTCATCCGCACGTTACAAATAAAAATGAGATGGGAGGCCATGACAGATTGTTTAACACCCAGCTGGCACTTATTTGCCCAGCAGATGGGTAGCACACACAAGAAGCATGTGAAAAAAAGAATGGATGGTATCCAAATTTCCAATATGAATATCTTAAAAAGACTAAATAAAAAAATCAACATAGTAATCCGACAGCCGCCATGAGGTAAGTTTCTTCTGATTATTTGACCTTCGATTCCCTATCATTAAAATTAGTCAATTCCCTCATTTTCCTACGGAAAACAAATGAAGGTAGGTCATGATTTGGCAGGTGCGAATTGAAATCTACCTAACAGATGATATTACGATGGCTAGTACTCGGAAGTTAAACTAATTTTATTAAACATGACTATTTTCAAAATTAGAAAAAAAGAGCCGAACAAATAAAAAACACAACTTAGAAAATTTAGATGCAGATAACCAAAGCACCAAAACTCATAAAAATAATATAATGAAACTACAACGCTAGTTAAAATGATATGATACATACATACATGAAAAAATAGGAGGCAATACTCTTATGAAGACTAACAATTGGGTATAAGCAATGGACTACGTGCATATTAAGGAGAAAATTAATAATTACGGATAACGATATGAAAGAATATCACAACAGAATATCAATTTATGTTCATGTCATTAAGTACTGCATTAACCGCAATCGGGAAAAACGAAGACTAACAAACTTTAGAAGGTCTAGACCACATTACACGAATATAAAAACAGCATAGAATATATTTACTCGAAGGCTTTAATTAATAAGGAGAAATATAAGAGCACTGCAAGAGGAGTCGATGACCCTAATAATAAGCATTAAATAACAATGGAGACGTGAAAGAATAAAAAGACAGAAGATTCTTCTTCGTGTTTTGCAACACAAAAAACGAACAAGACTCCAAAATCGCCAGGGATCAGGATAAGAAAAAATCAAAGAAATGCGAGAATTTGAAATTTAAAGTAGGCCAAAGACCGAACTGACGATGATGCCAAATGTAGTATTGTGAAATAATATTGTAATGACCTTATGGGGCATTTCATGAGGTCGATATTATCATGATATAGGACATAGCAGGCGATTAGGTCAGCAATAAAGCAACACGTCAAAGTAAAGCAAAATTAATTAATAAAATTTAAAGTGACAATATTAAAGTGCCTTAAGAACGAAAGAGTTAGACATTTCAAAGTTAAAGATGGAATCCGCAAATAGTCATCAGATAATTACAAATCAACACCCTAATTAATTGCAATTCCTATGTGACGTAAAGCAAATTTGGATGAATCATTGAAACAGGCATTTGAACCGACCGCTCAGAAAAATATTTGAAGAATCTTGAAATAATCAAGACAATCAGAAAACCGATATTAGAAAATAAAATCGTTCTTGATTTAGTGGAATTAAAAGGGTCACAAACCCGGGACCCATTATGGTACAATCATATCGTTAAAAGAGGATCAAGGATCCATTTCGCGATTTTACAGAATAAGCAAATATAACCAAATCAAATAACAATACAAATGGAATATTTCCGACTGCGACACTAGATTACAAGATCAAAGATGCTTGAATGAAAGATTCATTAAAGTGATTTTCAAATCTTTAAACTCTTTAAACGTTATATTAAAAACAAATACGAAAAAGAAAGCGGTGACTCACCAGTCTTTTTATATTTGGAACAAAATAGAATTTCAAATTTACAAAATAAACTCGAGCAAAATTAACCTCAAAAACTCTCCAATAAAGTGCCAGTTAAGACTACAAATATGCCATTCAGTAAAGTTTGACTTTAAAGAATGAAAAAGGGGAAGAGTTTCAAAGGACGGTGTTTTAATTTACAAAGACAGAGTTACCTAGTAGCAGTAACATTTGGAGAGTTTATGAAGGTGCTGAGAGGCACTATTTGGAGGTGTTGAGGTTAACGAAAATGTACATAGCATTTATAAATTAAGCTCTGAAAAGAACTTTCTAGACTTGAAAAGAAGTGCTTCCATTGGACTAGCCAGTAGTTCTTTCAGCTGCTCGTCACCGTAAAAGTTCGCCATGAGATCTAAGAAATGGTAGAAATAAATATAGCAAGCATACCAGCAATAAGGGCACTAGTTTCTGGACAGTACCACACGGTAAGGATAAATTTTAGATAATCACGGGAGGAAACTTCATGACGAAGAGGAAAGACGTATTTATACCCACAGTCCGAATCAGTTTCAGATGGTTCTGGTGTTATAATATTCATAATTGTAACATATTATGGGTAAATTCACACAGCAAGCGGAAGTTTTTTCAATGTTGGCTTTCGAAATCAAAAGGACGTACAACAATAAACTAACTACCCTAAATGCAAACTAACACGAGCTGCCAACGCCAAGCCCAAAGTTCCTTGAATAAGCAGCGTACTTTTGACTTTCCCTCAGCTTCATAAAAACAACCCGTCATTTTTATTAAGTTATTTAACGAATCCACTATACAATGATCTCAATAAAGGTAAAATTCGTTCAAATTAAATAAAGTTATGATTCATGATACTTAACTTAACGTCTGGTCTGATGTTTTATTTCCTTTCATAAACATATTATCGCTTAATAGAATTGTGATGCAAATCATATTTATAAATTCATTAATTACAAATATCAAATTATAATTTTCATAAATTAATTCAAATAAGTGGACCGTTACATGGTGCCTAAGACACTCAATATTTTATCATTTACAAATTCAGAGATGCGAATTAATGATGAGATGTTTTTTTCGTCGATTGTAAAGAGACAGATCTATGGGATAATTTTTCAACTACACGCTCTATATAAATTTGATGAATTTGATTAAATTTGAAAGGAAATGAACAACCTTTCTTCGTTTGTATGAATAAAACAATGTTGTATAGCTTTAATTGCTCCCCTACTGATTAGATACATTAAATTAAGATAATGCCCAAGTTTAAACGCCTCGATGATTCATCTCGTTTCTTAATAGCGCAAAGTTGAAACCGCTGAGTTATTTGCCTCCTCTTGTTTGATCGATAATTGTGTGTAGGGATTTTGTACAAAGTTATTTAATATCTATGCCATATTTAGGATGGATAAACTGGATGATGACAGTTATTGGATTGACGGCACAGTTCTTGAGATCCCATCTGAGCGTTGTCCTGTTATACTAGATCCCTTTACTAATATGAACTTCCGAATTTTAATCGGTGACATTCAATGCATGTCACCTTCAAATATAGCAAATGGTCGGTTCCTTTTTTTACAATATTTCCTTTTTCCAGGTCTTTTTATTTTCGCATCTCGATTTGTCTCCTATGTCGATATTGTTGGTGTAGTTCGTCATATTGATGTGCGCGAAAACTGTTATCTTGCTCATGGTCTGTCTCATTTGTGTCTTTCTTATTTCATAGCGTGTAGTTGATGATGGCACGGGTCAGGTAGTATGTACAATTTGGCGAAAGAATCTATCTCCTGAAGTGCCTGAAAATGTTTCTTGCAATAACCAATCAGCAGAAAACCGCGCACTGGCTCAGAAACTGATTCAATTGGCAGTTCGAGCTACTCCTGTAGTTTCCCCGATGCTCGATTGGAAGGTTGCTGAACTTTCTCCTTGCCTAGGAGTTGGAGACACAATTCATTTGCGTGGACGCTTACAACTCTTCAAAGAGTCTATCACTATTTCAGCTAACTATTGTTGTAAGTTTATAGCTTTAATCATTTTAAAAGTTCTTTTAGAACTTTTCAGGCTTATGAGAAACCAGTTTTGAAGGTTGTCTTTTCCCCATAGTCTTGCCAATCTACTCGAAATCACCACAGAATAGTGAGGATGTAGCTATATACTTATTAACGAGTTATTTTCGGCAGTTGTCAACCTTGGGAACAGGAGGTCCACGTTTTATCTATTTAGCACTGTTAAAGAAAGGCGGTATGGAATCAATAAATACTATACTGTCGGTAGGATGGGTAATGCACGCAATGTGTTTTATATCACATTTCCGAATGAACCCTTGTTAAAAACTTCTATATGATAGAAAACTTACCTCCTCATGCACCCTGGGCAACGTATAGTCATACAGCAAGTCTGTTAACCGGCAGTTGACTTCTCACTTCAAACAACCATCACCCTCACACTACTCATCTTACCCTTTCTGAGCCTTTGTGTCTGTCTGTTTCTTTTACATCTGTGAATCACTCTTCTGTTCTCCCTCCCGAATTCTTCCCACTTTGTTTTTTCCCCTCCCCTCTGCGAAGCCCGAAATCAACTAAAGGGCTAATGATATCTATCAAAACGCCTGCCATTTGTTATAAATAATAAAATAATGATTATCATCCATTACCGCTCATGTCTTTTAAGGACAAGCATGTAAAATATTAAAGTATTGTATGTACTTTGTGTCTGCTATCAATTTATTCATATCTAAATACTTTTTGCTTTATCTTTTTTCCAGGTATAATAAAGAATCCCCAGGAAGAACTCGACAGTCTTTTACAGGCCTATCATCTAAAAACGCATATCTACTCTCAACCCTACGATCCCTCTCAAATATTTGAAAATTTAAAATCGGACATGTTTGTAGGTTGTTTTAAGTAAATAACATCAAATTTGATTTATACGCAGCTTGCTTTTCGTTCTTTCACGTTTATTTGATGATAGCATAGTTGTGAATAACGGGTAATAGCAGCATTTCTCTTAAATAATTCCTGGCATCGAAAGGCAGTTGGTTGTGTGGTTGGTTCTGACTAAAAGTATATTTATTAGTTTAGTCCACTACTTGGAAATATTTTAATCTTTGATATCTAAAAGATTGACGTCGATTTTGCTCCATTACCCAAGTATTTGTTCTTGCTTTATTACCCATGCTCAATCGTTCGTGCTTTTGGAACGGTCTTTGATTTCACTTTCGGCTTTGGTTGAAGTTAATAGAGTGCCTATTTTGTCAATACTATTGGCAATTCCGTCATTTCATTTCTGGGTAAAAGTTATCAAGAGCATGAGCAGAATAAAATCTTATTTTAATGGACCTTACCCTAATAGATTTCTTTGCGAATCTCCTTTTGTCTGCGGTTTTCATTCAGCTACCTTTCTAAAAGCTTTAATATTATAGCTTAGATTTTTACTTATTTTTTCAGAAAAGCTCCGATGGGGAACTTCTACAGCGAATCCAACACATCATGGAATCAGATGGTCTATTTCACTTTACCGCTCTGGATCTGCAACTGCATGCTCAAGTAGTCGAAGAAATTCGAGTACACAGTGAGTTGGTGGTCGATGAGCTCTGTGTAAGTAGTATTTCGATTGCAGGTTCTTCCCCTTTGAACTTATTAGTCATTTAATAATTGTATTACAGATACGGGAGTTTTCCGAAAGTCCGCCCGTCCGAATAAGCTTGGGGTTAAAAGTTAAAATCCAGTCCTACTACTCTTCTCTGTCTGGGACTGAGACTTGAACCTCTCCCCATATGGCAAGTGTCATTCCGTATGCGCATTACGTGCGCTCTAGGCACACACGGAAGCATGCATGCGTGTATGTGAAAGATTTTACTTCTGCATTATCTCACATGGGCGCATATTTGAGTGGACGGTTATTTGATTCCAAAAATAGTTTCATGAAATGGAATTTTCCGTTTAACCGCCCTGGGCGGATTTTCGAAAAACCCTCGGTGCTATTTCGTAAAATCGAATATTTTGGAATTCTGTTTTAAGGTTTTTCCCATGATAAATTCCATTTTCAGTTCGGAGTTATTATATTTCTATTTGGTACCTCTTTTGTCACCTAAGCTCTAAGCCTGTGTTATTTCTGATTTTCCTAACGCATTTGGGCTATTAATTTTCTTGGAAAACATGAGCTATAATAATTCCTAAGTCCATTTTATAAAGAGGGTTTCTATGGCTCATATTCTGTCAACAGCGACATCATGGAGATTCTCTGATAGGAGGTTCAAATTACGTCACCCTCTACATTATCTAGATCTAACCAGTGTAGTTGGCCATCTCATTCACTGGACTTACACTGATGGGACGCGAATTTGTGGCATCTAATATTGCAGACGTGATCAGTACTTCATATCGAATTCCTTCGAATAAAATTGGGTTTTTTGTAGGCATTATAGAATACTAGTCTATTTATAAGGAGTAAAATCGCATTTATGTTTCCATTTAGTAAAATATTCAGGAGTTGGTTATTGTTTAACCTAAGATAAGCACTTTTTTCAGATCAATGTGAAGAACTTTCAGAGCTCAAACCCACATGGGCTATATTGGAGTTCCGAATAGTTTACATTCAAATCTGTTTACAAATATTCTTTTTGATATTGGGTATGCCTGTTTGAGCTACATTGTTAGTGATTAGGAAATGCTAAAAGAGCTAAAGGTAGTGGATTGGAAATAATAAAATCATTTCCATTGGAAGCCACCATAAGCTCAAACTCATCTTTTGTTAATCAATTCGCTTCTATCGCGCGTTTTGACTAACCTATTAGCTCAAAACAAGAAACAACGCAGTTTTAACCTTCGAAAAGCAATATTTCCTCCGTGACTGTTAACCAGTTTCGATAAGCTGTTTGCCAAGTTAATTTGCGTTGCGTTTTTATTATTCTTTTCATAAATCTTCCCTTTTTAGTATGAACCCGATTGTAACATCGTTCACCCTCAAAATGACACCGAAATCACTCGCTCGTTGGAATCAGCGAGTTTGAAAAGTTGTGTTTTGGAGATTATTGACAAGTTTCTCGAAGTGGGAATTATTTATCGCTCAGCCGATCCGATTGGTGGAAAGTCCTCCTATTACGTTAGTTCACTTTTGTCTGCTCCCATTGTTCACAGTTAACCGTCGTTTTGCGCCCATTTTATTTGCAGCTCAGGCTATTCTTGAATTTGATTGTTTTTCCACATCTATTTATTTATTTGCTAAATCCTTTAACTTTAGCTATTGAGTCGATCTATTAGGTTTCGTTTTTATTTCTTATCTCTTTCGTGTTAAAGCAAAGGAATATTGAACTTAATAAACAGAGCGAACTTATTGAAAACGAAAAATCTTTGATTTAGCTAAGTAGAGTTCTTCGAGTAGAAACACGAAGAGTACCCAAGAATGAGTTATTTTCATCTTTGAAAGTTTTGAACACGTATACTTGATAGCTGGAATGGATATTATTGTCATAGAGTATAATTATTGTGCCCGATGGTTTACATATTTTGTGTTAGTCTATTCAGGAGTGAAAAACGTCTTGAGCTGCTTTATTTCAACTATAATGATATTCTTATTATCATTTTTGTCTCGCTTAGTGGGTAGATGTACCAAAATCATTTCTGAATGATTCTTTTTTTTAAATTAAATTCGTGATTGTTATTGTACTTGATTTTCAAATTGGTATATGTAACATTTGATAATCGTTCCAAGTTAATAAAAAATATACGAGGCTATCTATTGTTTTTTATTCCCGTTCGCCACCTATTCAAAGTCGTACTATCGGGCTCCGTATTTGTAAGTCGATATCTTACCTAGTGACTGTGGTATAATTTTAGTTTCTAAAGAATTCAAAGTACTTAACCCTATTCTAGGTTTGCCATTTGGGGGCGTTTTCCTTCCGCGGTCTTACGATATAAATACCTAGTGAATAATGTGATTCGAATCTCGTCGAATTTTAGGATTTAACAAATTGTGTCACTTTGGGGTTACATTTCAATTTGGTTTGATAGCAATAATGCACTTTTTATTCGCACTTTCAATAATATTTTTCCTGTGACCCCTGTGTGACAGTTCATTTGTTAATATTTTTCCTCGCTGCGTATTTTAGTTCACTCTCAAGAATAGACAATTGGCCAAACACGTTTGTCAAATTATCTCCGTGGAACAAAAGGGTGAGTTCGTACAACCAAGGTCCTTGAAATGTCATTCTTGGAACTCTTTGCTGTTACTATTAGAGTTATGCTTAGTTGACTCTATTTCCTCGCTTTGCATGCTCTTTAGCCCTCCATCTGCGCATTTTTCTTTAGTTTCAATCAATGTATTTTAAATGGTTTTAAATCTCAGTAACTTAATACCAGATGAAGGCTTCCATCTTGATGGTTTTTTGTTCTTTTAGATTCCGAAGAAGGCGTTCCTTTCAATATCATCTTGGAAAAGCTGCGATTATTTTCTCCAATAAGTAAATCCCAACGTCCCTTTCGATCTATGACACGATCAGCTTTGAGCAAATTGATCAACCATCTACTTGAAAAAAGCCGAATTTATGCCAGTTTTCCCGACTGCTACAAAATAGCCTGAATTTATGTCCATTTACTCCTCTTAGATTGGAATTAAGTAATTAGATTAATATAACATCTGTATTAACTTTTGCTTCATTGGATGTTACAGTAGTTTTTAAAATTATAACTCATAGTTTAAAGTTGATTTTGTAAAGCTGGAATAAGTGATCCTTCAGTATATTCGTTATGCCTTGTTCTCTTCGGTTAAGTGAATTGTATAAACAATCAAGATAGGAATTTTGCTCTTGAAACCCGAATATTATAATACAAGGCAAATAGGGATTGAATTTCGTTCAACGAACAAAATTTGTACAAACTGGTGAATTCACATTTCAAATCATAGCCTTATTCTGTACCCTTCTTGCTAGTATTGTTGGAACAGAGAATTCTTTCCACCGTTGAAATTACTTTGCCATTTTTCAAGGATTGGGGAAACGTTGAACAATAATCATACTTTGAAACTTGGCATACTTGTTGCTAGGATGCCTGGTTTGGATGGCAGCGTTACACTCGAAAGGAATGAACTTATTTGACATGCACTGAATTACTCAATATTGGAAATCTATACTTCTGCCTCTGTGCTTATTGCTTAACCAAACCGTCAATCATTTATAATCTATTTCAACCTGTATAAGTACATTTTCGAGGTATGAGCAGATGAAGCTTTACTAAAGGGCAACTGTGAGGTTATACAAGGATCCTATCTGTTATAATCAGTAGTAAATCTGATGAAAAAAGTCATTGACAGACTTCCTCAAGTGTTTCACTGCGAATAAGCCAACTCAAGGCAATGCAAGACTCGGCAAAGTTAAAAGTAAATAAATGAAGTAAAATATAGAATAAAGCTTAAATTATTCAGATTGATTCCATCCTGATAAAGGCTGGATCAAATTAACATTATAAACTTGGTTTGGTCAGCTACATGAGGGTAAAAGTACTGATGAAAACGCTATTGTTTTACTAATAGACCCGCATTGCCCTCATACTTTTCTTGTCTTCCATTGGTCTATTATATTCTATGGCCCTATACACAGGGTAGAAATCAACTTAAGTTTGCGTCTGATGCTCTGATTAAAATTGCTTTTCGGTGTAGTTGTAATCAAAATATTTGCTGTTTCATGGAGATCTTACTGGGATATTTGGCTGGGATCATATGTTCCCTCAATTGGTTATTTGATTCACCTGCCACAACCGTTACACGCAAGCGGGCTGAAATAGTTAGGCCAAATTATTCATGCTTTAATTATATTGGTGGGATTTTAATGCGCATATATCACTAAAAAGATCACATATCAGAACAGTCAGGTAAATATTTAGTTCACTTAGATAAATGCCATCATAAAAGACATTTTCCGAATTGCTACTTTCAAATATTATCGGACACTGAAGTGTTCGGCCAAAGTTGGTTCTGAAAATTAAAAGATCGTGATGGCTCCGCCCCAGCAGATCAATATAAATTTTCCCTCTGGAGAACAAAAATCTCTACTTCTCAACTAAAACCTTAAATTGTCGGAAGTAGGGGATTGGAGTTGCTCCAGAATCTTCTTGCATACCATTTTGACAATAAACTGAAGCATAAATCTTTTTCGAAATCAATGCAACTGAAGGTAAATGGATTAGCCATTATTAAACAAATGCCTGAAGTTAACATAGAAAATGGCTTTGGTATTATAAATAGGAAAATAATGTAAATAAGCGGAACGCACAACATAGAGACACAAATGGGTTCGAAATTGCAAAGCGAAGCATCTGGAATGCGATTTGTCCTTATAAAGAGTTAATTTATTCTCATCTGTTTCACTACCTTCACAAACGTCAGTGTCGTCCTTCACTCCATCTCCCCCATCATACTTTCTCCTTCAGCATCGCTTTCACCTTCTTGAGGACCTTTACGACCGTTGGCACCATTTCCATGGATAACTGGAGTATAGAGACAAGCGCAGCAACATAGACCCGTAAGTGCATGTCGAAAGTGCACGCCGAATATCAAGTAAATCATTGGCTTCAGTACAATGAATGTTATACTCAGACACTCAATTGCCATTTCCGTGTACACCGGATTCAATTCCACATACCTCTCCAATTCCAATGCGAGTAGAATTAGTTTTGGAATCTTTGTGATTAACAGGAGAAAGCCCAAACAGACCGTGATGACGACATTAGCAGTCTCCTTGAGAGTCTGTCTAGGCGGAGGTACCAAGAAGTAGAACGGCATGAGATCTGATCTCTTTTCAAAGGGGATCCCGCAGTATAATACTTGATTGTTACCCGCGATTGATACCTTTGGCAGTCTCTTGTCTTCAAATGTCGACAGACTGGGGCAATCGAAGTTGTCGTTTGATGGATTATTTGGGCTTTCTAGATCAGGTTCTTCAATGGCATCATTATTGCGGTCTTTTTTAGCTTTTGTGAACGGATAGCAGTTTGCAAAGTCGTCGCCACAACAGCAGTAGGTCGAGTAAGAACAGAGATTCGTTACAGTTTTCCACTTTGATGAACCCAGGTCGACCATCTTGGAAACTGCCATACTTGTTAGCATTCCAACGCCGAGGTAGGGAAGAAACATTTCAACTGGAATGTTGAGCAGGTAGTCCACTAGGCTCCTAAAATATGGAGGACATCAATAACAATGGTACAACTTAAATAGAGGGAAGCTCGATCTGAAATCTTAATTTTACAAGAGGGAGAGTAAAGACAATAAATTTCAGATTTAATGCTTTCTACGTCGAATCTCTATTGCTCGAGGAATTAGAAAACAGGAGTATTAAACGTCATTTTCTATTCGTTCACGTTTTAATAATATACATATCAGAATTTTAGGCCAATTCGTTTAAGAGATGAAGAAAGTTGCGTTCGACAGGACTTTGGGATCGTATGGACACACTACGCCAATCTGTCGAATTACAGGTCCACTAGTTGAAAAATTAAAGTTATTTACTAAAAAAAAACAATGAGTATTCATGAAAGTTATTGTCACCGTAGGAGGAGGAGATACTGGCAGGATTGTGAGAGTTCATGGGTTTTAACATAGTAGAGTTCACTCAAGTCAACTCATAATCGAAAATGGACTAGAAAATCTCTAGATGACTCCCAATGGGGAAAATGGCTAATGAGTTTGTTGGCAGTCATGTTTTAAGCAGCCGCCAAACCCAGAGGGGGTCTCACGGTGTCTCCCATTTTCTCCATAGGTTCAGATAATCACGATTGGCAGTCAGTTAATTGTGGTAGGCACATTTTCAAGATTTTGAAAACGCGCAAATAGAGGGGCCGGTTGTGCCTAGGTGACTTTGGGCATTATATCCAAACGTTAACGATTTAATACGGTTGATATTCCAAGTAGGCAGAGAGAGGCTCTAATCGAATACCACTGCAGGCGTTTTACTTATGTGCATCAAAATTGTGAATAGTTTATGCTCGTGTGAACCAAGACCCTTATCAAACGGATTTTCTTCTTCATGCTTAAAGCAGGAGTTTTGGTTAAATCGAAGATACTGGACAGGACCATATATAATTGTAAATATTATACTTATTGGGGAGAGATGAGTATAAATAAGATTATTCAAAATGAATTTCAAAAATCAATAAATAACCTTTTTCGCTTATAAAAAACGTAAGTATGAAAGTGAATTAGATTATACAATTAGATGGTGTAAAGCGGAAATGTAGTAAAGGGCACCCATTCTGAGGATACTGATAAGTAATTATCAACTCATTATCTTACCAAAATAATAGCTTAATTAACCACTAATTTGCAAACAAATTATTTTCAATTATCTCGTGGTACACTAAATATTTAACTTGTCAGAGTTATGTCCACCGCAGACTTGACCCATTCCAATGATCCAATTGAGATAATTTAAACTGACGAGCATCAGGACATATCTGAAATTTGGTTCAGTGCATCCACTATTTAAATAGAACTCACTTCCCACGCCTCAACTCCCGTTGATCAATTTTGCCGAGAATGAAAATTTAATGGGCCATGTTCGCATTGTGTGTGCCCTGGAACATAATGAATAATAGCCAAATATGTTCATTAAGAATTGGATAATCGAAAGAAATCAGAAGTCACGGATATTAAAGGTTGCTTAATGATTTGAAAAGTGTCTCTTAATTGCGTCTAATTCCCGGGAATTTTACACATTTTTTAATATTTTCCCATTCAGTAAATGAACTAAAACTCGGTAAAGAATAGAATTGCAAGTGTAAGCAGCAACACAGTAAATACAGCAGGCTCTTCATATAGCAAATATGAAGTAAATTGATAATGATTTCAAAAAGGAGAATTCGATGCGCATTACTAAGACACGCTATATAAAATTATGTAATTTCAAAATAATGAATTGGCATAATCAAAGTACAATTATTTAATTGTGACCAGGTGTGTTTCTGTCTCTATACGTAATAAGCTTTCAATCGACTAAATGAGTAGTTCAGAGCCAGGCAATAATAAAATTTCGTTAACTTATCAGTTTTTAATAATTAATTCTATCAAATACATAAGAAATTGCCTTGAAGAAGTAAATCTTCGCACAGTTTTGTTTTCAAAAGACAGAGAAGAATGTACGAAAGAGAACCCTTACAATAACTAATGTTTATACTATTTAGCAATAAAAGGGCATCAGTTTAATAGCTGATAATTGCAATGGTAACCTTTCAACGTTTATGACACTATTGTTAGGATGGTTTAAAAATGAGGAATTTTACTACTCCCAATCAAGTGTCTGTGGCGTGCACAACGCCTTCGAAGGCTGAACCAAAAATATCTCATTTACCCCTCCAGAGCTGCCTGATCAAATATCAAGCAGGTGCGCTGTAAGTGCCGAGACCGCTCAGACAACCAGCAATCAATAGTCGCTACGTGGTTATCGTAGCCCTAATTATATTTTAATGACTAAGCTTTGTATCTGCGTCCCACAGCCAGAATAAACGCTATTTACCCTACACACTGTTTCCCCCTCCCCCTTAAAACCACCTACCCCCCTCACACACACACAATTGAGGTTGGTTAGCCAATTTCGGGAACAATTTTATTCAAGGGGATTTTAAAGGAGGATTGTTGAGGTTTAGTTCGGGCTTATTTGTGAAGTGAAGGCGGGAAAACACTGGCTTTTGTTGTCATAGCTAAAAAGTTATATAGTTCAACGCCAACTCTATGCGGTGTAACATGATTCATATAGCTAATTTGGCCTTATTTTCAGTAAAAAATGTGAAAAACGCTAATTAAGTATTAATTTTGTCAAGGATAAGCATTCACTATGTTCTCAGGGTTATTAAATTGTGGGAAGCGAATCCTTTATTGGAAAAATGAAGATGAAGGAGGATGTCATCCTGACCCTGAACGAATTCGAGGCGTTGTGAGCATGTCATGAGAGCCGGCGGAATCTATTAGTTACTATGGCAAAAATGTTCGTGGACCATTTTAGCAAGATGGGTCTGATAACTGATGGAGACCATCTGAGAAACTGAGATTAGAGTAGCTTAGATTTATCAGGGGCTACAGACATACCAATTACTTGTTTCCTATTGGCGTATTTAAAAATCTTTGGCACAGACTCCCTACAGGTCCTTACCATCTTATTGGTTGTACTAATGGTCGTAGATCTCCTGCCTAATTTGTGTGATCTTCTTCAAATTGTTCTCAGCTATGCTCATGGCTTCGAGTTGATCCGTTATAAATCGAATATACACTGCCTTGCCTTACTGTTCTTGATGGGCCAACTTTAAGTATTAAGCGTTCAACTTCACCTCCTTCTAAGTAGAGAATGCTAGTTAGTGACAATAAAGGAGGATATTTTACTCTATCCAGGAATTGTTTAACTGACACATCTCAGGATTTACTACACCTCTACAACTCACTGCTCAAGCAGTATGGAATACTGATGTGTCGGAGCAGCCAAGTAGAAAGAGCCAACTGATCTGACAAAAATGACGACTAAGCTTCTTGTGTGAATATCAGACGGTCCATTCTTCAATTGAAGGCAGTTAACTCATTGGAATACTTTGCTTACGTTGTTCCAAATACTGTTATTTATCAGAATATGGAGACTCTATTTTAGACCAACTTGGCACTCCTCTATCAGTTAAGAATGCTCATCTACGCCGTGTTTAATGGATGTTTGGAAATCAACATCAGCGCATTGTCGAAAAGCGAACCAATAGAAATCCTACCTGAGGACCAGATCCTAGTGACAATGTGGTTTCAACTATCACCTCCACTAAATCATACCAAATAAATGACATGGTCAGCGCTAGATGCGTGAGTAATAAGTGGTTCAAAAAGAACAATTTTTTTCAGAGAAGGTAGAAAAGTTAGCTATTAGTAACCGTTTAAGGTCAACTATTTCCAAAATTATAGATCTATTTTAGATTGTCAAATGAAATGGGAAGCTGGAAACAAACCACAGATAGACCGAGTTATTAAAATTATTGACTTCAAAAATAAAACCCTCAAAAACCTGGTAGAGATATAACTGGCTAAGTTAATCTTTTTTTCCAACGCATTACAATGTGCAAAAACTTAATTTTAAACGCATGGAAGCACAGATCGTACCATTACAAAAGCATACATCAAATCTATGAACAGGACTTGGTAGACAAGTCGATGTATTCACCAAAGTGCTTTTGAAATCGAATTAATGTGTAAAGCGTTGCTACTATTTGGATTACGCTAATATTCGTATTAGATTGAGGGATTCCACATTTAGTCCCTAATTCAATTAAATACCCGGGTCCACACTGTTCCTGACATCTTGAAAATTTAGAAAACACAGATGTGCCTCAACCTTCAACTTCATGGCTATTTCGAAGGAAATGTCCATACCAGAACCTTAGTCAACGCCAGTCCAGAAATATCACAACGTCAAAAACTTGACTTCGTGGCATTCAAATTGTGTACAGAATAAGGTGCTGTCTCAAGATTAAATAATCTAAATGTTTTCGCTTTGCTGTGATTGAACCAACAAGCCCCCCCCCCCCAAAGCCCTATAGAGTTAAAAAAATTTAATTTAATAAGACTAGCAGGGCCAAATTATCGCTAAGGCAAGGTAAACAAACATTATTTTCACTCTTTGGCCAAGGGGGGGGGGGTAGACACCAAAAGAAGGATGTCAATAAATGCGAGGAATGAAGAGACGAAGGACCGTGACCCCAACAACGGTAGGAGATATGAAAAATATTGATTTTATAAGGCCGAAATTTCCCCATTTTTGCCTTCCTCAAACCAAACCAGTAAACTGTATGAAAATGTGTTAGTATACTGCTTACCAACTTTTGTTCATGTGAACTTAGTGAAAAACGCAAGAACCGAATACGAGAATAATCTCAGAAACGGGATATTTCAGCAGATTTTGAGTAATACAGGCGAAGTTCTCACGCACTTACATGGTTTTAATGTATAAGGCGAATACACGGCTAAGGTCATATTAAGGCATACGTAAAGGCATCATTAGTCCTCAGAGGACAATGTAGTTTTTCGTTTTTTGACGTACCTATATAGCGAGCTGTTTCCCATGGATGTGAAGACCACTTTGTACCCATTGGGAATCTCTGAATTCGGTACACTTCGAAATTCAAAGAATCGTGGAATTATGTAGCAGAAGGAGAGCAACAGGACCACAGAGATCATCCGCACATGGATTCGAATTGAAGTCACTGACTTTGAGAAATAACCTCGCCGAAGATAGAGATATCTCTCCATTAGCAGACAAATTGTCAACCAGACCTAAAATAGAAAGTGGAGAAGTGGAGTAATTTCATATTACAAAATCAAGTGGAATAGATGGACTTAACGGTAAGCGTGACAAGGAGAGTCTAGAGACTTCGCATTGTTTTGACCAAATGAAACAAAAATTATTTGTGAGGCTAATCGTTTTTGTGTCATTTTTAATCGGAAAATACTTTTTCGCTGACTGAAACGAACTAATTACAGAATATGCTACCAACTAAATACACTTTCACATTTGGAATTCAAGAATGTCTTTAGAAAGTTCTAAAAGTTTGTATCTATCAAGACACTAACTGGAAGAGTTATTAACGTGACTTCAAGAGCCCAGTTCCTATTTGTAAGTACTAATGACCCTAATTAAAAATAAGCATAAGAAACTCTTGAAATGTGAATTAAACATAAGCATTACACTACAATTTCTTAAATCGTTCGAAAATTAACTACAGTAACTGTTGTCTTGTCATCATTACTTGTTAGTCATAATCGCCAGTAAAGCTCCTTTAGGAAGCAAATCAAATTAGTCTGAATGATCCCCACTGGACTAATTATCTTCCTAAGGCTAATGCGATACAGAAGCCTCACTTGAGCAGAAAGACCAATAGCTAAATGGGACTCAAATTAGTTAGAATATGAGTGTTTTATAGGGCATCATTGGTAGTTTTCTATCTGTCCCTAAGCTAAAGCTTCACAAGTTTAGTGATTGGAAAAGAATTGTTGCTCAATTTTATATCATAAATACTTTATGGATATGGTAAGTCTAGCTTATCTCAAGTAACATCTCCATCATCATGTAATTTGTACGGGTGAGTAGATTACATTAGTAGATTTTAATTATTGAAATGCATGTTAACGAAAATCAACTTCAATCTATTTAAGGTGAAGTGCCTTTGCCTAAATGAAGCGAGGGAGCGATTGAAACGATTATCTAGTTAGACTACTTTGTTACACGGCTGTTAGGACACCAAGTCAGTTAGTTTCAGGGCTTTATCTATTACCCACAGTACTACCGAATGTTGGATTTCTATGGTTATAACTTGATATGTCGCTATGTCACCATTAAAGCGATTATTGGCCAAGCGTGGAGCAAACCACCTAGCCTGTATTTGGTTTCCTTATTCTCCTGAAGTGGTCGATGAAAACAGACATCAACCACCACTTCGACCTAAGTTTATCAAACATTAATAAATCTGGTCTGAACACCATCCCTATCGCATGGGATTTAAGTTCTCAGGAACGTTGGATCTAATTATTCCAGTTTATGTTGACGCAGTTATTCGCGCAGAACCCGATATGAGAGCAGTGTGGCAGAACTCGGATGAATAGTGGCCATTGGCTTGATCATATTATACTGATATTCATATGCAGTTTTAAATGTGAGAATAGTGGGATCCTCTCAACTTTTAACCTTTTGTTCATTAATTATACCTTTCATGTATCCTATAGACTCTGGATTCTTTCACTATTTACCTAGCCAAACTGTAGGATGTTTCTAAATGGAGGTAGCACTTATGGAGTTAAAAACTATAAAATAAGCAAAACCAGACAATCAATGGGGAACCCAGAGAATAGGTTGGGAGGTTCACAATCTAGAAATTTAGGAAAAGCGCAGTGAAATATAATTTTAAAACAAAAGGCAATAGCATAAATAAGGAAGAGAGTTCCTTCGACAAACCAAATTTAATTCTTTATTTCCATACAATTCGTTTTCTCTGCAATGCTCTTCAAATAATTGGACTATTTCTAGCTTTTATAAACTTATACGTAAAAAAATAGTTGAATGAAAATATTTAATTCACTCACCGAAGAAACCTCAAAGAAGACTGTAAACGGTACAGCAACAGGTACAAGATAGGCGGCCCTTTGAGCATAAGCAGTTGTCTGATCGGAAAAGCTAACGCCATTCAAATGGACAGCTGTTTTCAGTGGTAGTGTGAATGCCAAATAGAGACAGTCAAGTAATGCAATCACTGTAAAGTAAAGCGTGGCTCCACATCTATTCGTCGATCTGTTAAAACCAACCATACAAGCAAAGTTGAGGAGAAGACCAGCTGAGCAGAGTAGAGCAAAGACGATTCCATATAGAGTGTAAAAAAGGTTGGCATTCCAAGGTTTTCCGCAAAAGTAGTCGTCATAACAATCTGTGAGATTTCTGAAGGCAGGAGCAGTGTGCACTGTAGCAGTAACAGGCGTAACATTATGCGGGGCTGAGATAACAGTTCTATTTGAAATAAAATAAATATATAAAACCTTAAAATAGTAATTATTAAAAGCAACCCTAATAATTTCTCAGTCACTTCAACAGACTCTCCATAAAATCTATATCTTGGCCACTATAGTTTTTATGCCATTCAATAAATGTGGCGTAATGAGTTGTACACTTTGCAGAGGTCAGACCAAACTGCTAAGGCACCGATGTAGTGGGGGAGCATGCATAATGCATATCCATTGAAACCAATAAATACCTTAATTTTGCAATAATGCAAACAAGTTTTACCATCACAATGCCAAAATATTAGATGTGGTGTACATTCTTTTGAAAAATAACATCTATGGCTAATGAATAACACCCATGAAATTAAATCCGTGATAATATCATCCCCAAAAATGCGGTAAAGTAGTAAAAATATGTGCAGTATTGACACTAAACATCTGATTTTACAAATATTCAAAAATTTTAAAAAGGCAACAAATAAAAAACGTAAAATAAGCTAACGTTGCATTTTACATACCCAAAAAATTCACTTGGATGTGGAGCAATCGAACAAGTGCTGAAACGTGTGATATACCGGCACCAGTCGCCAAATTTAGGATAATCCCGAGCTTCTTCAAGAATCTCAGATGAACAATATTTTTTAAGTGATTTAGCAGTGTCGTAATATGAATCTGCTGTCATGTTGTAAATATCCGAAACCATTGGAAGATCAAAATATTTAAGCATTAGGTCGGCAATCTCATACCAACCCAAATTTTCAGCCATCTTATGTCAAAGAACTATTGATAATTAACGATTATTTATGGAAGTAGAAAGAGTGGCTAAACGCAAGAAATACTAATTCATGATATGGATGTAATGGCCAACAGGACAATTGACACAGGAAACAAACTCCGATTTGAAAAGATGCGTTTGGCCACAATTTTCGGATTTAAATTGAACTACATTAACAAGTAACCTAGCAATTAAATGCGCTTTATAATAAGAAAAATTTTTCTAATATAACACATAAGATAAAATGTATTTATTTCAATTTTATTTTCATCATATTTTTACTCAAACTATTATCTATTTACTAAAGTCATTATAGCATTTATTTATATCAAATGGCAGGAGTCTTGAAGGTTATCATTAGCCCTTTAGTTGACTTCAGACTTCACAGAGAGAAGGAACATCAAATTGAAAAAAGTCGAGAAGGAGGAGAGAACAGAAGAGTGTTTCAAAGGTGTAAGAGACAAAAACAAGAGTGGAAAAAAAGGTGAGGTGAGTACTGTGTATATAGTCGAATATGGCATAGAGTGAGGTGATGGTCGTTTGAAGTGAAAAGTCAACTGCCAGCTAATAGACTTTTTGCCGTATGAATATACGTTGCCCAGGGTGCTCCACGTGGAGTTAAGTCTATCGAACACCCTAAGTCATTATAACATTATTATTATTATTTCAAAGGGCAGACTTTATGATATTTATCATTTGCCCTTAAACTTTGACTTCAGCTTTCCCCATGGGTGGGGGTACATATAGAGTAGTTAATTAATAACAGTCATTAACTGTCTTCTTGCTTCCCAGTATCTCTGGCTTTCCGTCGTTGTCTTTAGGGCTGGACACCGAATCAGGTGGGTCTTCACCATTTCCTCCTGTAGGTTACATAGGGGCATATGGTTTGAGTGTATACTCCCAATCTGTGAAGGTGTTTTGCCAGGCACTCGTGTCCGGTACGTTGTCTAAACACAGCAACGGCTTCGTTTCTTGGCCTGTCGGTTATGTCGGAGAGTGCCACTGACACTATTTCTCCTTTGTTCGAGCTTAAGTTCGTTTACACCTTGAGGTCTTGAATTCTCTCCTGATTAAGGCCTTCATTATGTGGAAAGACATCGGCCTGTCCATGCATTGCAAAATTGTTGTCCCCTTCCTAGCAAGTGTGTCAGCAAGCTCATTGCCTTTAATGCCACAGTGACCATGAATCCATTGTAGGACTACTATTTTTTTTCTTTCTCAGCAGCTGATACACATTATAACATATATAGTACTAAATTATATATCACACAATCTTTTTTTATGTTTTATCCGTGCTTACATCTGAAGATTTCTCGTAACATTATAAACTACTATTGCTCTAAAATTCGCTCAATTCTTTTTTCAACTCCCATTTAACTATGAGTAAATCTGCATTTCTTTAATTATACGGATTTAAACGTTACCACACCTACATCTTTATGCACACAATTCTTTCATTGACTAGTTCAAACCAGTAAAACTAATTTAAAAAATGCTGTTACTTTGGTGAAAGGACCAATCCCCCTGCTCACTTTTTGATCATGGTGGTACTAGTTCCTCTACCCACCTCTGCACAACCTACTTTACTTGATATTTTATTAGTGGTGCTGATGGGGGTAGATTAATTTCAGACCACAAACTTTTAGTTGACAAATATCTTTCAAATTCAGCAATATAAACTGGCTTATAGTCCCCCCCCCCTCTTCCTACACCAATAAATTTCGAAAATAAATAAAGCAAAATTTCAGAACACGATAGCCAAAATACATTCCCAAAAGGTCCCGAAAAATCACATTCCGTATCTACACTAAGATTTCGATTATTAATTAATTGTTCTTAAGGGCATTTTCCAACAATATTACGATATCATCGAAGCCACTTTCTTTTGCTTCCTCCAGTGCTGTCGTACCATAACCTGTTGGTTGAGCGGGATCAACGCCAGCACCACTTGCTTCAAGCATATCCATTTCATCATTTCCTTCAAATGACTTGTTCACCGTCTTCGGAGTTATTAAATATCTGACGGTATCGGTCTGGTGATACGCCACAGCTGTGTGAAGCGGTGCACGACCCTCGGCATCATACTCCTGCAAGAATATGAAATACTCAAGTCCCGTTTTACTGAAATTAAGTTACATCTCTCTCTGAACATTTTAAGCTCAACAGCATGAAGGTACTCTGTTTATATTGAACATGGATATATGATGTTGAGTAGCTTTAAAGCTGTACAGCTAATATGCCGGTGAGAATACTACAGTTCTAGATAAGAATATGTAAAAACAGTAGCAAAACTTGGTCACGAAATTTTAATAAACTTTGTATAGGTCCCATGAATTGCCCTCTTCTTCCCGCTCTGTAGGATAAAATGAATTTTTATTCTAATTTAACCTTTGATATTCCCATTTTAGGAAAGACTATCGTATTTGTTAGTCTTCTGGAAGGCGTTTAGTCTTTTTAGGTGGGGACTTTAAACTAACTTTATTTTCGGGATTATAGCTACCCTAACCACTTCAAAAATCACACAGATTTTCGATCATGAAATTGGCAGTTCGGTAGCTTCAAAACTCACTTTAAGTGACAAGCCAGCCAGTCGATAGAATTTCAACTGGTTAATCCTTCCTGCTCGAGCAGCACCGTTTGTTTCACGAGCTCGAGCTGATGTGATGGATGAGAAACGGCAACCAAACTTTCTCATTAGCTTTATCAGAGGAACAGTCGCATTGGGACTGCGAACAGCCCATGATAGAGGTGTGAAACCGCGTTTGTCAACCACGTTTGCGTTAACACCATTCTCCAACATGAGTCGACAAGATCCTAGCGCTCCGGCGCCTGCAGCGACATGCAGAGGGTAGACGTGTCTTTTGTCGTAAAGCTATATGCAAAAATGACGTCAAATAAGCTAAAGTAATGGAAAGATTGATGAACAAAGACTGCGAAATAAGTGAACTCCCTTATTTTTCCTTTATTCCTACATCTCCTTCACCATCATTCCCACTCCCATTCCTCTGTGTCATGAAATACAACCATATTTATGTCATTCCACCAATAGTTCTGCAGCATTAAGCTAATATGCATCCATATAAAGTCGATAAATGACTATGCATTTACTGAAACGTGTTGATTTTCACCCTTTGTGTTTCAATGAAATAAACCTCTATTTATTGTGACTGGTGGAGGTTTCAAATCAATTCTTTTCTATAGCTGCCCCACTCCACGTTAAAAGTACGTCAGCCATGATAGCATCACAGCGTACTTGTTCAAGTGACTCGTGAAGTGACCTTGTATTCCTAATCATCTTCTCACTCACACAGACAAACTACTGCCGGACCACTTGATTTATAGCATATCTCTGATGAACTTGCAAGTATTTTTATTTAGATTAGCAAACAATTGATGATCTGTTTTTTTTTGTTTTACTTTTCAAAATATCTTAAAACATAAGAGGGCTTTGAAGTCATAAAAAAATCTTACCGTTCATGGGCCAAACCTCTACTAGTTGAGATACAGTGACTTAAGAGGAGATATGTACTTCGGTACCGAAAGCAAGGAGGTTGGTAAATCATCCTCTGAACTGATCAACTATACACGTTGATAAAGTCCATCATCAAAATGAATTAACGCCATATGACTACAGGAAAATGTCTCAAATATGGTTATAATGAATATTGACGATTTTATTGTTCCCTTTCCAATTGTTGCAAGCTTTACCATAAAAATTTTCCATAAGAGGCCCACAATCTGGTATTTTTTCTGTTGACTTACTATAGGGGGGAAGTTGATCAACGGCTTAAGGGAATGCTACCTTGCTCTGCATTATATACACGCCTTACAAAGCAATAAATTCCTACTATATTTAATTACAAAGTTCCCAATTTACCTCAAAATGACCAGCGATACGCAAGAGTTCCTGGAGCACTTCAACCTCATCATTCATAGCTGCTGCACACACCAGTGAACGGAATAGGTTGGCTGACCACAAATTCGTAAGTTCAGCGTTCTCCGCATTCATCAGTATGCAACCCAGGCCGGTGGTGGTGGCCATGGTGGCCATGCCTTCGACGGGACTACTCCGATCCGGCGAGGATTTGCGGTGACGACGAGTTTCAACAAGGGGCTCGGTAATCTCCCCGCGAAGATTGTAGCTCAACATTCGACGTTGGGTAGCTGTGTCGCTCCATTTCCCCAGAACGTAAGCCATTTTCATTAAAGCTGCCTCCGTGGTTATATCCTATAAATTGTAAACCACATTTACTGATTCAAATTAAGTAGAACAGGAACACGAAATTTTATACTTATGTAGGAAGAAAATGAGAGTTTAACTCATTTCTTCGATTTATTCTATTTTATTGCAATTTATACTACGTCTATTTTGGTTGATTAACTTTTAAATTCTTTTATGGGTTTCGATTTTTTGACATAGCTCGAGTTAAGCTGTGATAATTTTTCGATGTTAAAACGAGAATCTGTGTTTTCATTCCTTCTAGCTAGGGATATCGACTTTTAGACCGAAGAGAAGCCTATCATTGGTAAGTTAGCGAGTAGCTGAAATATATGAAGGCCAAATTCAATCTCTATGAGAGTACAAGTAGTTACTTATTGTGTGATGCTCTAAAATGACGACTACTATTCTATTGATGAGGAAGTCTATTCTCGTCTTCTTTTAATCTTAAAGGAAAGTACAATTCTCAAAGAAATATCCACTTTCTCTCAATCTTCGATTTCAATATTTATCAATTTCAATTGAAAAGTGACCTGAAATACATATCATTAAACGTTAAAATGCTCATCAATGGGCTACTTGACTAGCACACTGTGAATTTCTGTAACCAGCCGTACGAGTGCCGAAGTAATATATATANAGCGAGTAGCTGAAATATATGAAGGCCAAATTCAATCTCTATGAGAGTACAAGTAGTTACTTATTGTGTGATGCTCCAAATGACGACTACTATTCTATTGATGAGGAAAGTCTATTCTCGTCTTCTTTTACTCTTAAAGGAAAGTACAATTCTCAAAGAAATATCCACTTTTTCTCAATCTTCGATTTCAATATTTATAAATTTCAATTGAAAAGTAACCTAAAATAAATATCATTAAACGTTAAAATGCTCATCAATGGGCTACTTGACTAGCACACTGTGAATTTCTGTAACCAGCCGTACGAGTGCCGAAGTAATTGGTTAGATCGAAGGAAAGGTCCACAAGAGCAATCATACCAAACCCAGGCCACAGGCTCATTGATGAGGTTCCGAGTTCAGATCTATATATATATATATATATATATA